GGTGTAAATGGACACCATATGAATAAATAATAATAAATAAATAAAAAATAATAACGAACAGTATGGAAAATGTGCATACTGATGTTGGGGTGTAAATGGACAAAGTATGAAAAAATAATAATAAATAATAAATAAATAAATTTTTTTCAGTTTTTTAGAGTAAGAGTGTCATTTCCCTTCTCATATATTTTTTAATGTCATTTACTTTATAAGGATAATTTCGATGCACGTTTTCTGAAATTCTTTCAATACGAACTAGTAGTTACTTTCGCGATTTTTATATGTAGGTTGTTTTTGTTATCAAAGTTAGTTTGGGTCCGATACGAGTCTGATCCTAGAGAACTGAATTATTATGATTATTTTTTGTTGTTGTCATCATCGTTACTAACCGAAGCATGTAACCAATATATAATATATAATAGCTTTTCTTAGGGTTTTATCATACATTTTAAGCCTTTTAACATGACTTTTGTAAATTTTTAGTGATTATTATTATTATTATTATTATTATTTACTGTCCAAATAAATAAACAAATATATAATAAATAAAAAAAATAACAGTATGGAAAATGTGCATACTGATATTGGAGTGTAAATGGACTACGTATGAATAAAAGCAGACAGTACAGTTTCAGTATCACATCACTTTCCATCAAGCTTTTTGTGCAAAGCTGTCATGACCCGGAAGTCCTTAACCCTAACCCTAACAGATACCCTAACCCTAACTTTTTCACCTGATTTTACATTTAATAGACCTATTTGATTGCTTAATCCAGAAAAATGGATTTTTCCAAAAAAACTTGGTTCTTTGTTAACATCTATATGGCCTTCCCAAACAGTCCTTGACAGCTTTAACCCTTTCACCATCAAGATCTCATTGATAAATCTCCTTACTATCTGCCAAACAATTCTTATCAAGTTATTTTGGAGAATATGGTATTGGATCAACTGGCAGTCTAAATCCCACAGGTATCAACGAACGCTTTCATTCCACTACTTTATTCGTGTTTTTCTCGTTGCCATGTTCCCACCAATAACGTAACTCCATTTTCTGCCTTTAAAAGCACACACAACCCGCAATTCCTCTACTCGCTCCGACAAAGGGCTAATGCTCAAAACATCAGCTTTTATGGCCAATTTACCATTTCAACTTTGTTGATATATTCAAATTATAACATCGTGAGAATTGTATAGCAGACAGTAAGGAGAATTATCACTGGGATAATACACACTAAATTAACCTCTTAAAGACAGCTTACCAAAGAGCTCGGGGAGGGGTGGGAGGGAGTGTATCAAACCAAATCTAACTGTGACTGGTAGGGGTAGTCATATTATTTTAAGAATTTATTTCCAATTTTTTTTTGGAATTCCAAAACCTCTTCTTTTCCTTACCTCTAAAATTGTTTGGGCCTCCTCCTCAGCTAATAAAATAAGTGCTGTTGGACTACTGTAAACAGAGAAAAGAAGTAAACAAGTTTAAAACAATAGTTGGACAGTTACATTTTTCATATTTTTGGATCAATGAGCACAAAAACACTGTGAAACTCATCAATCAATTCTGACCCTTTAACAATTGGATTGTGATAGTTAATGGCGGCAAAGCCCATTTCAACTAGTCAGGGCTGTCATTGACTGCTGGCTGCCAGCAAACTTTGTCAGATGAAAGAGTCCTGATCACCTGCTGGATTTATAGTCAGTATTGGCTTGGTAAAGAACAATAGACACTTCTGAGGTCACACACTTACAATTGCTCAATATTAAATGTTTATCTTAGAGCTGCCACACTTAAATTTCATCCTAAAGGTTGTTTACTTAGCTACAACCCTGACTATCACATGTTGTAACATAAATCTTCATATTGCTCAATCCTTAAAAATGAAACTGGCACATTTTTTTATCTAGAAAAAAAAGGGCAATGATCATGAACCAATGAAGCTCTTGATTATTAAACAAATTCTTGAAGTCAATTTATGAATATATGCATACTGATGCTATTTTTGACACATACTTAGAATTGTGTTCTAAAGCTTGGTGAGCTGTCTGGATTCTCTTTTCTTGATCTCTTTCTCTCCATGCTCTTAACATTACTAAAATGTAGAACATTAACAAATCAACAGTCACTTAGCGTGGTCTGTACTCTTATCTACAACATTATTTGTCATCACAGTGGTCAGAATGTTGTGGACTCAGCACCTTGGGGAACATATGGGGAACAGTATGGAAAATGCGCATACTGATGTTAGGCTGTAAATAGACAAAGTATGAATAAATAATAATAAACAATAAATAATAAATAAATAAATAAATAAAAAATAACAATAAATAACAGTATGGAAAATGTGCATACTGATGTTGGGGTGTAAATGGGCAGTATGAATAAATAATAAATAAATAAAAATAATAAATAACAGCATGGAAAATGTGCATACTGATGTTGGGGTGTAAATGGACAGTATGAATAAATAATAATAAATAAATAAAAAACAGTATGGAAAATGTGCATACTGATGTTGGGGTGTAAATGGACAAAGTATGAAAAAATAATAATAAATAATAAATAAATAAATTTTTTTCAGTTTTTTAGAGTAAGAGTGTCATTTCCCTTCTCATATATTTTTTAATGTCATTTACTTTATAAGGATAATTTCGATGCACGTTTTCTGAAATTCTTTCAATACGAACTAGTAGTTACTTTCGCGATTTTTATATGTAGGTTGTTTTTGTTATCAAAGTTAGTTTGGGTCCGATACGAGTCTGATCCTAGAGAACTGAATTATTATGATTATTTTTTGTTGTTGTCATCATCGTTACTAACCGAAGCATGTAACCAATATATAATATATAATAGCTTTTCTTAGGGTTTTATCATACATTTTAAGCCTTTTAACATGACTTTTGTAAATTTTTAGTGATTATTATTATTATTATTATTATTATTTACTGTCCAAATAAATAAACAAATATATAATAAATAAAAAAAATAACAGTATGGAAAATGTGCATACTGATATTGGAGTGTAAATGGACTACGTATGAATAAAAGCAGACAGTACAGTTTCAGTATCACATCACTTTCCATCAAGCTTTTTGTGCAAAGCTGTCATGACCCGGAAGTCCTTAACCCTAACCCTAACAGATACCCTAACCCTAACTTTTTCACCTGATTTTACATTTAATAGACCTATTTGATTGCTTAATCCAGAAAAATGGATTTTTCCAAAAAAACTTGGTTCTTTGTTAATTAAATACATCTATATGGCTTTCCCAAACAGTCCTTGACAGCTTTAACCCTTTCACCATCAAGATCTCATTGATAAATCTCCTTACTATCTGCCAAACAATTCTTATCAAGTTATTTTGGAGAATATGGTATTGGATCAACTAATAATCCCCTTGTTGATATTTTTCTTTATTCTCATCACTTGTCTGCTTGATATTGTATTGATATTGTAAGGAGAAACTCTCTCTTGGTTACTCATGGCAGTTGAAGGGTTACATACAAATACTCACACTCGTCAGAAGGATCAGAGCTTTCAGCATCAGCATCACAAGTAAAGAAGGTCTGTCATAAAAAAAAAAAAGTTACAAGCAAATTTAGCAAGTTATTGCAAGTTTTTGAATGTATTAATGTTTAACAACAACATACATGACAAGTACACAATTACACATTAAAAATTTTCCTCTCAGTTTGAACACAAATATAATTACTTGCGAGTTGTAAAAAGCACTATTATAAAAAAATACCATATGGTGATCATAATTTACAGCCTCAAATTTGACATATCTTCTCATGAAGGAGTTTGAAGGGGATTATCCATGTCCATATTTAAACAATGCACTATATTCATTTTGTAGAGAAAATAATACCTGGTGATCCTGGGCTGATAAATTCATGTCATAATAGGTTAATGGCTCCTTCCCTGTCACCCAGTAATACCTGTCATGGGTAAATGTTTCAAAAAGTTTTGTAAAAATGAAACCTAAAACTGTGCCGTGGTTGCAAAGACTGAAGCTCACTCACCTATTGTACTCTGCTCCTCGGAAAAGATTCCCGGGATTTCTCCACACTTTACATTCTAAAAATTCAAAAAAGAATGTATTTTCCATGTTGGTGAATAGTCTAACTGAAGCAAAATCTTGTAGATTTTGCTCTGCATTTAGGATAGAAATGAACAGAAATTTAGGATTTCTATTATAGGAACAGCTGGAGTATCTGCTGAATTAAGCTGGTTATGCACTGTTGTAAGACATCTACATAACTTGTGTAGAGATAGGTGAATAATAAATAAACTTTCCCGAACAGCTGTGAAGACACAAACAAGCTATTTAACAATTCAAAAAAGGATGAGTTTTACAGCCAAAATTAACAGGATCATGTAACAGCTTGGAATATATATAATAGTAATAAATACCATGTGATGTTTTATTCAATACATATGTAAAAGAGATAAACTTTCCATGCATGGATGTAAACAGAAATTGAACTTCCACTCAATGTTTGTAGACATGTCTCTCTTTGGCAGGAAAAAAAAAAAGATGACACAATTTTTAAAGAGCACACCTGCAACATTCTGTTGTGTATTCTGTGGAGGGCTGTCAGAGCTTCCCAGTAGGGGCCCAAGATGTGACAGTGACACATGCTCTATAAAGGATGTTCCATACTTTCGAAAGTACCACCACTCAAATATCTATCATAACAGAATGCAAGTAGCATAACTCAAAACTATTCAGAGGCAATACTATGAACTTTATCTACAGATAAAAATTCTTGTGGTCAGCTTACATACTTATTAATCTCTATACAACATTTTTTTCAAGAAAAAGGATTTTGTGGTTGTTTGGGAAACAACAGAGTTATGAAAAAAAATTTTTAGACAATCAAAACAAAACAAAAATTAGTGAATGTTGGGAGTTTTTTTGTGGGAATTATTTGGGGTAATTTTTTTCCCATGTACACTACATGAATTAAGTTAATTGATCACACTTGCTTGATCAAGTTGGCTGATTATTGGCCATTTTTTTAATTTGTTTTTTACACACTTGAATTTTGTCTCTAAAGAAATAAAGAGCAAATGACCTGATTGTTTTGGTATAAATCTACTAGTCATTCAAGACTTAACAGAGTAACAGGCTTGTGTTTTACTTTATTTTGTTCACAACCACAAACTAGAGGGATTTAGCACCGCTTTTATGTGAAACACATCCAAGTGACCAAGTGACCTTGTTTTTTCCTGTCATTTTTTTTATGTTTGCCTGTTGTGCTTTGCCATTTCTACCTGAATGTAACCTGTACTGTGTTTGCCTTGTACGCAAGATTTTCTTCACTTTTTCTCTAACAGATTTGAAGTTAATTGTCAGAAAAACAGCATCAAAACTTTTTCCTTGTGTGTCCTATAGAGGTTCCTTCAAATTCACCATGACATGGGCTCATACGAAGCTAAAGCAGAGGTTCCTACCATTTTACATGAGGCACTAAAAGGCAAGCTGACATATGCAGTTTCATGCTAAATCTCTCACTGTTAGGCAACTCACGTTACTCCCTGTCTATCATGGAATAGTGATAGTGGTAAAAGCACGCAAGGTAGCCAATCACATTGCAACATTTGGGATCCAAGACAAAGACAAGGAGATCTATACTTATCAGCCTTATTCCCTGCATGCTTGGTCAATAACACACATGAATGCAGACAGATATTACTTAAAAGGAAGACAAAATAATTTGTACTTACAAGAATAATTCCTGAGATAAATGATGAGGTTCCCGTAAGAGCCACATAGAACTTTGGAGTCAGTGTGTTGAGAAACAATATAGCTGAAAAAATAGATCATTTTGTTATCACGGTATACCCTGTCAAGCAGTAAATAAAAGTATATGATGTACTTTAACTATTTGAACCCTTAGAATTGACTAGCATCTAATTTCTCCTTACAACATCCTCTCTGAATCAAACAAAAAGGTCATGAGAATAAAAGAAATGATCACCAACAAAAGAAGCTCTTGACTGATAATCATAATAATAATAATAATAATAATAATGAAAACTTTATTTATGTTTTTAAATGTACAATTGTAAATTGTATAGGCAATTTACAAATGCTGCTTGAGATTGGCTTATTCAACACACACACAAAAATCAAAATTGCATCAAATCTGGGTTGTCCCAATTCCTATTTCTACAACAAAAGACGTAATATGTTGCTCTAATAGCTATATTTATCATTTTCTTGATTATGTAAAGTTGCTGCTTTTTGGCAATGCCTATGTCATTCATCATGACTAAGAACGTAGAGCATTCATCTGAGAAAACGCCAAGGGACCTCATGGAGAGATTTACAAAATTTATCATAATAATAATAATAATAATAATAATAATAATAATAATCTTTAATTCAACTGATAAAAGTAGTCAGCAATCTGATAGATTGGCTGGTATAAACTAGTGATCAGCATGATCAATAGTACTAATCAAAATCAAAGGGGAAACTCTATAAAAAACTAAAGACTAAATTAAAAGAATAAAATATATATAGAAAAGCTAATACTTAATTAAACTACTTAATGATTAGAATTGTCGTATTCTAAAAATATTTAAAAACTATTGCCTTAAATTTAGATAGAGACTGTATCTCTCGAATTTCTTCTTGGACATCCTTTGTTAAACAAATTCTCCTTGTCAGCACCTTAGGAAATGTATAGAGAACAGTATGGAGAATATGCATTCTGATCTTAGGGTGGAAAGGGTTAAAACGATTTCTGGTTCTATTGATTTCAAAGTTCAACTAGTGCTCAGCCTAAGTTTGATTTGAAAACACAACTATGATTTCAGACCAAAACTGCACAACACAAAGTTCAATTACCACTTTATTACATCCATTTTAAAATTACACAATTCAGTCACTCAAATACAGGATTTTTATGTTTATACAATATTTCATTAATCCAGTATTGAGCTGGTTTGTAAAAAGTTGCAAAATTTGTCTTTCATTTTGCTGCCATTTAATTGGTTACTTTAAACAAGCCTTGAAATGTGAGTGGTTGTCGTATTCTAGTAAAGATTCCTCATTAGGTGAGAAATAGATGTGATTTAGAAAAAAAAAATGGAGCAATTTATGAATAAATTGCCTTCATGAAATTCTTCATATTGCAAAGATTACCAGTGATTTCAAAATAGTTGTATCACTCAATCAATCAACTTAATTTAAGTGTCTAATCTTCTAGCTTGCCCTCAGGCCTACTAATCGGGGACACTACTTAAATTACTTTTTAATGATAAATATATTTACTATAAGATAATAAGATTTAACTATTCAAAACTTCTTCAAATATATACAATAGTCAATATACTTAAAAATACACATATGCAATAAAAACTATGTATACAATTTTGCAATATATCAACTCCACTAGTTATAATATTTTCTGTTTATGAATTATGAGTTACACAGGTGGCACCTTTTGCATGCGTTTTCTCTAACCATTTGGCTCAGATCTTTTTTCCTTATATTTGCTTTAAACCCTCTTAAGGAGGTCTCATTTCTGTCCTTCATGCTCAATTTTGACCATAAAAATGGCCCTAAAAATCTGAGGGAATGCTTTCTGTATTTGACAGTTTTTACACTTTGAACATGAAAGTCCACGTTCCTCAGGTTGTAGTTCAAAGGCGATGGCAAGAAGAGTATATTGTAGAACAGTAATCTATTCCTGATTTTGAACATGAAGATAGCGATATCTTGTAATCTCATGTTATATAGACTAGTCATTCCAGCGTGTGTAAGGTCACTATAAAGGAGAGACTCGATCTTTGAAGACTGTACGTAGACCTCTTTCATTAATTCTCTCTAGTTTGTTTCTGTCACTTGCACGACAAAAGTGCCGCACCAAGCTACAGTAAGTAAGATGGGGTAGAACTGCAGTTTTATATAATCGTAGTTTTGCGTTCATCAGGATTAGATTCTTTAACCTTTGTAGAACACCAATCATTTTACTGGTCTTTATGCAGACCTCTGATATATGGTGCAAGAAATTCAAGTCTCTATCAATAATTACGCCTAGCAGTTTGAATGCATCGGTAAAGTTGATTCTGCAATCATCAATCACTAACTCCATTTGTTGCGTGTCCCTTGCTATAGCCATTGCTTGGTATTTGTTATAATTGCCTTGCAGAATATTTGTTTTATACCACCTAGATGTCTCTTCCCCATCTTTCTTAATTCTATCTATAGCAGTGTGCAGATTCAAGTTGGAGCAGTAAATCTGATGGTCATCGGCATATATAGGCAGACAACTGAGATTTAACGCCAGTGTAGAATAAATTGTTTTGATACACGATGTAATAAATAAAATAAAATAATAATTCAAGGATAAAGCTGAAACTGGTTCAACATTTTTAATGAAATATTCACCAAAAAGTACCTGATATGTCATTGCCATCGATGATAAATGAATCATTATCATATAACTTTTAACAGCATAGATAAGGAAATTTAAAAAATTATGTAAGAAATCTTTAAAAACAATTTACCAGCAAAATTGGTATGGTAAGATAATTTACCTGATTGCTATACTACTGCATGTACCTAAAATTTATCTTTTCAAGGAGACGTTAAGTCCAATATTTAACAGACAATATGATCTCACCTCCCACTTCAAAATAACGGAGGTAATGGGGGAAATGATTAATCGTGCGACCAAAAATGTTCACATCGAAGATCAAAAGGTCATTCGACAAACCAAGTTTTATTTTTAAATAAATACACTTTTACCATTAAATATTGGAAAATTTCTTGAAACGATAGTGGTTTCAAGATGGAACTGATGTTGATTTCATACGAAAAAAAGTCTTCTTCTAAAAAAGAAATGAGAAACGCAAACAAAGAACGCGAATCGGTGAAAACAGCTGACATCACTGTGTCAACCTTTTATCGTACTCAGTTGTCATTTTTTTTTTTCTTTTCTCGTAAAAGTCACGTCTTACACAAGAAAATCGAGCAAAAAAATTTAAAATTGGGATTTATTGAAAATATTAAAACGATTGTGATTTGACCTTCAATAATGGGCGAGAGAATTCACCTTTTAATAAAAATTAGCACGGCGCGAATTTTCTTGATTTTTCATTGAAAACGAAATGAATATCAATAACCCACCTAGGTTCAAGTTTTCTTTCAAGCGAAGAGGCGTGCGGAGTACATAGAGTAGAAAAATGACGAGAAGGAACCAAAATCCCCACAGATATGTCCAAGACCAACCAATCCACTGCTTTATTTTACCAACTGATCGCTGAACCCCGCTTGTTTCATCCGCCATTTTCATTGAAATAAAGCTTAGGCGCCTGCGTTGAGTGTCAGAGGTATAGACTCGGTCTAGACCTCAAGCAGTAGGTGCGCGGTCAGTAAGCACAACCTAACAAAGCTGGAGAAGCGATAATTGTCAATCGTCGATTTTCGCTTAAGCAAGAAAGAATGAAAACAGAACACAAGCAAGGAAGAAAATTACCTTCTGAAAAGGTCTTTTCAAAGCTTGACGAGCAAGAATTGCATTCCAGGCGGGAGAAACGATCTTTTCTCGCCCGGGTGGTAGACGCGAAATGTGTTAAGACGAGTCGCATCAGAATGAAGTAAGGAGAAAAAACAGAAGAAGATGAAGGAGATTAAGGAAAAGAAACCACGACTCGTACAATTTTGAGTGAGTAAGTACGGGTTAATTTCTCCATGACTGCAACGACGCTACACCAATACATATGGAAACTCGTGCACTTTTTGTAGCTTTGTAACATTTTCTCGAGCGTTCTTATTGCAAATTGCTATGAAAAAGAATTTTAAGCTTAATGCAGCCCGCTCTTCTCGGGTAATACCAAAAATGACAGAGCTCGAGAAAGCGGCGAAAATCCAGCCTACCACTTTAGCCACTACTGGCTGTTTTGGCATATTGCCCACTAGTGGCCGTTTTGCCATTTTGGCCACTAGCTGCAGTTTTGGCAAAACTGCCATTAGTGGCTAGAATGCCAAAACTACCACTACTGGCCAAAATGAAAAAACGGCCACTAATGGCTAAAGTCGCAAAAAGACCACTAGTATCCAAAATGCCAAAACAGCCACTAGAAGCCTAAGTCCCAAAATAGCCACTAGCAGCCAAAATCACAAAACAACCACTAATGCCAAAGTGAGTGGCAACAATGCCAAAACGGCCAGTAGTGGCTTAAATCCCAAAACTTGTAATAGTAGCCAAAATGTCAAAACAGCCACTACCGGCCAAAATGGCAAAACGGCCACTTTCGGCCAAAATGCCAAGACAACCACTAGTGACCTAAATGCCATAACTGCCACAAGTGGCCAAAATGCCAAAACTGCCACTAGTGGCTAAAATGCTAAACTAGCCACAAGTGGCTAAAACGCGGAGACGGTCACTAAAGGTGAGTGGCCAAAATGCCAAAACTGCTACAAGTGGCCAAAATGCCAAAACGGCCAGTAGTGACCAAAATGCCAAAATTGGCACTAGTGGCCAAATTGCCAAAACGGCTATTAGTGGCCAAAAGGCCAAAACTGCCACTAGTTGCTAAAATGCCAAAATGGCCACTAGTGGCCAAATTGCCAAAACGGCCTTAGTGTCCAAAATGCCCAAACTGCCACTAGTGGCCAAAATGCCAAACTGGCCACCACTGGCCAAAATGCCAAAACGACTACTAGTGGCAAAAATACCAAAACGGCCACAATTGGCCAAAATGCCACAGTGGCCAAAATGCTAAAATGGCCAGTAGCGGCTAAAGCCAAAATGTCAAAACAGCCACTAGTGGCCAAAATGCCAAAACGGCCACTAGTGGCCAAAATGCCAACACAGCCACTAGTGACTTAAATGCCAAACCTGGCCCTAGTGGCCAAAATGCAGAAACGCCCACTAGTGGCCGAAATGCCAAAACGCCCACTAGTGGCTAAGATGCCAATATTGCCACTAGTAGCCTAACTGCCAAAACTACCACTAGTGGTTAAAATGCTAAACCGGCCACCAATGGCCAAAATGTAGAAACGGCCACTAGTGGCCAAAATGTTAAAACGGCTACTAGTGGCCAAAAAGCCAAAACGGCCACCAATCGCCGAAATGTTAAAATGGCCACTAGTGACTAAAATGCACTTCTATGATGCAGAACAAGTACTTCGCAGTTAATAACATTTTTAAAATACGAAATTCGCCCTTCAAAATAATTAAGAGTGGGTACTTCGCAGCCAATGAAATGTTATTAACTGCGAAATATTATCTTCTCTTCGCCGTTAGTGAATTTTTATTAACTGCGAAATATTCCCTGTACACTATTATGCAGAACAAGTATATGTATGAACTTCATATATTCATTGTATCTCAAGTACTTCGCAGTTAATAAAATTTTATTAACTACCTAATCTGCCGCTAGTGGACAAAATGCCAAATCTGCAACTAGTGGAAAAAATGTCAAATGGGTTAGTAGTGGACAAAATGCCAAATCGGCCACAAGTGGACAAAGTGCCAAAGGTGCCACTAGCGGACAAAATGCCAAATCGAAAACTATTGGACAAAATTCCAAAACGGCCACTAATGGACGAAATGCCAACACAGCCACTAGTGACTTAAATGCCAAACCTGGCCCTAGTGGCCAAAATGCCAAAACGCCCACTAGTGGCCGAAATGCCAAAACGCCCACTAGTGGCTAAGATGCCAATATTGCCACTAGTAGCCAAACTGCCAAAACTGCCGCTAGTGGCTAAAATGCTAAACCGGCCACCAATGGCCAAAATGCAGAAACGGCCACTAGTGGCCAAAATGTTAAAACGGCTACTAGTGGCCAAAAAGCCAAAACGGCCACCAATCGCCGAAATGTTAAAATGGCCACTAGTGACTAAAATGCACTTCTATGATGCAGAACAAGTACTTCGCAGTTAATAACATTTTTAAAATACGAAATTCGCCCTTCAAAATAATTAAGAGTGGGTACTTCGCAGCCAATGAAATGTTATTAACTGCGAAATATTATCTTCTCTTCGCCGTTAGTGAATTTTTATTAACTGCGAAATATTCCCTGTACACTATTATGCAGAACAAGTTATTCGCAGTTAATAAAATTTTATTAACTACCAAATTCGCCCTTCAAAATAATTAAGAGTGGATACTTCGCAGTTAATGAAATGTTATTAACTGCGAAATATTATCTTCATAATATATTGGGCGTTTTTACTGCGAAATATTTTCGTTCTCTATAGAGTAAAACAATTGCAAATTTTGCATTTGTCACACTACCGTCTTGAAATTCATTTTCTTGACTTTCTCTCTGTCTTTCTCCCAAACAGAAGTATCTCCCGTGAAGACGAGCCATGTTTCGTTTGAAACATAAATGGACGTACCGCATCCTCTCGCTAGATTAAAATCCAAGTCGAGAATTCAATAGGTGGCGCCCCCATCGCCGCTGTTTTCCTTTTTACATCCACTTCAGCAAGGGATATAATTTAGCATGTTTGATTATTGCGACGTCATAACAAAGATGGCGGATTTCAATTTGAAAATGCCGATTTTTGGAACGTAGTTGTTCGCAACTAAAACGCTTTTAGCTCAAATGAATAGCCAGTCAGGAAAATTCAAGCAAGGAAATTTTGATCTAAGTAAACTTTTTCTAGACCGAACTTTTCCTTTAATAAGGGCATTATAAAAAAGTCGTCTTTCGTCAATAAGTACGCATCTTTTTCAGAAGACCAATTTGTTTACTAAGCTTCTTACAAAGTTTATCTACATGCTCCTTAAAAGTTAGTTCTTTATTAATTGTAACCCCAAGTAGTTTCTGATGTACAACTTGCTCGATAGCTGTTCCATTTGCTTGAAACTTCAAACTAGAGCCTGCTACACGTGACTTGAGACGCTTGCCAGTTACCAGAATAGATTTGGTTTTCCTGGCATTTAAGACCATGCGGTTCTGTGCAGACCACGCGCAAGGACTGTCAATGTCATCCTGAAGATTTGTTTCAACTGCCGTCGTCCCCAAAGTACAATGAGCACTAGAAGAAAAGGCAGTATCATCGGCATAGACATCTACAGTAGAGTTTGAGATCACTAGTGGGAGGTCATTGATGAAAGTCAGAAACAGCAGGGGTCCCAAAATACTTCCTTGTGGAACACCATGGGTGATACCTAGTGGAGATGACGTGCACCCAACATACTGTTGTCGATCAGCCAAATAGCTCCAAAACAATTGTAAATTTCCGTCATCAACACCATACGCCTTCAGTTTAACAAGGAGAATATCTTGATTGATCAAGTCAAAAGCCTTACTATAGTCAACACACACAAGGCCAGTTGCATTATTACAGTCAATATCAAAGAGGATCTGATCCAAGAGTCGAATAAGGGCAGGTTCAGTTGAATGACGCTTTCGGAACCCTGACTGTAGTCCATACAAAAGGTCGTTTCTAGACAGGTACACGTACAATGAATCATATATATGTCTCTCGTAAATCTTGGACAAAATGGGAAGGACTGAAATTGGACGATAGTTCTGTTTATCAGTCTTTGAGCCTTGATTTTGAAAAATGGGTGCGACTTTCGCCATTTTCCACTTGGACGGAAAACTGCGAGTGGAGATACAGTAGTTGATAAGGCTCGCAACCGAGCTGGAGATACCTGCCGCAGCGATTTTTAACACTCGAATGCCGAGACTATCCGCTCCTGTCGTTTTGTTAGAGGGCATTTGCTGCAGCATCATGTTCTCAAAACCTTCGCAGGGGAGATAAATGGAAGTTCAAATGTATATTTTGTGTCCTTAATTTCCTTAAAAAAGGAAGACGATATTTCAGTTGGTAAGCATGAATCAGCGGAACCCAGTATTTTTTTGGCCTGATTAACAAATAATGAGCAATACGATTGTCTTCAGTGACAACTTCCCCATTTTCATCAAGCTCTCGAACATAATAATCCCTTTCTTGATGTTCACCCCTGGGGTGGGATGGGTGGGAATTGGCCATGAAAAGCCTCCATAGGGAGTGGTCAACTAACGTATGTATGTATGTATGTATGTATGTATGTATGTATGTATGTATGTATGTATGTATGTGGACAAAATGTTAAAACTGAAATTTCCACTAGTGGATAAAATGCTAAATCTGCAAAGAGTGCACAAAATGCCAAATCAGCCAGTAGGCGACATAATACAAAATCAGCTAGTAGTAAACAAAATTAAATCTGTCTCTAGTGGACAAAATGCCAAATCTGCCACAAGTGGACAAAATGCAAAATCGGCCACTACTGGACAAAATGCCAAATCGGCCAGCAGTGGACAAAATGCCAAATCTGCC